CGACGGAGAAAATAAGACTCTTAATTTCTTCGTTACAATATTTTCGTTATACTCCACTATCGTATTTAAACTGGTAGAGAAAAATGAGACATTCCGAGGCTTTCTTTGAGAGAAGGACATCCAGAATTTCTGGTACGAACACAACTCAACCAAAGATTCACCTGTGCGGGTGGCATTTCTTATCTCTACAAGCATATGACAAAGTACACAAATTAAAAATGCTATACGCTGCGGATTTATGACAAAACGCACTCTTCCCGCATGGGAACGTTAGCACAAGCTTTCGAGAAAGCATCGATTCCTGAGGAGTACGCCCAACACCAGGTACTGCAATGGATGACCAAACAAGCACCGTCGTGGGCTGAATAGTAAAGGCAACAAGAAATAGCGAGTTAATAATATGAGGGGTATTAAGTACGATGTACCAAAATAGCAGACGCCCTGCCGCACCGTACTTTCCCATAAACGCGGTTTCATGCTTTGCTTTGCCACCTGCCAAAACAAAATGCGGAGTGGGCAAACCAAAACCTCTCTGCCAGGGCCGTAACCAGGGAGGGGTGTTAGGGGGTTCTGACCCCCCCCCCCCCCCCCCCCCCCCGAAATTTTTTTCTGGGTACGGCCCTGGTCCGTGCACATGCAGCCAGCCGATTTTAATCTCCACCTCTGCGCACGCGCAGTGGCACCGGTCGGCTACCGGGTACCAAACCGGGACCGGTTCTCCGGTTTGCTGTAACTCTCCATTATATGCCACCGATGCACATGATTCATAGGCGAAAATGGGGAAATGAGCACTACGTGAGCTAAAACTATATGTCTTTAGAACGTATACCGACGTAGCGAACGCTCTGTCTTTCTATTAGCCCTTTCTCATTCGACAACTTTACGTACCAGCGCCAAAATGCACAACTTCTACGCTCTTCGTGCAGTAAAACACCCTTTTAGGCATGTGTATGCTCGGTCGGCTCGGTCGGGCGTATAGCCGGGATGATTTCTTGCGCGCCGCCGCAATTCGCGGCGTCCCGTTGCCAATCACCGCATCCAGCCTCCGACGAAGCGTGTTGTTGGCCGTCGGCGAAAACCAGTCATAACCGCGGCATCCTCCCCGCCCGTAAAAATATGACGGGTGGGTCGGGCCTGCCACGCCGCAGGTTACTCGTCCGTCCGTCTGGCCTGCGCGTCCGCTATAGGCCCGCCGGATAAGTTCACCGGCCCCCTTCTACGACTCCCCGCCGCAAGAACCCATCCGTCATACATGGGCCAAGTTTTGTCTCCTAAACTTTTTCTTCGAGACCCTCCAATACGGCGGCTGTCCAGCGCCGCGTGTGCTCGAAGTCTGCCGGGTGAAGCCCAACGACTCCACGACCCCGCCGCATCCCTCCCACCCATCCTTCTTATTCGTTCATCGTACTCCAGCAGCGGGGGTCATCAGTCCAAGTCTGCGTTCTTTCTCTCTCTTCCATCCGACGCCCTTTGTCTCAACGGACGCGCGTTGTTTCGAGAACCTATCCGACAGCGCCGAAGAAGACGAAAGAGTTTGCAAGTTGGAAAGAGAGTTTGGGGAATCGCGAAAGAAGGAACGGAACAAAACAGAACGATGGGTCGCTGCGAAGTCGGAAAGGGGGAGGGGGGCGCTATCGAAGCGGGGGCATAGAGGGGGATCCCGGGAGCTGCCATGAGCAGGCGTGCCCCCCCCCCTCCCTCCCTCGCAAGGGCCCTGAAAGGATTCCCGAGGGTTCGCCGTCGCAACCCTATTTCTCCGCGTCGCACCTTCGGCAGTGCTCGGGCGCGGACCGCTGCTGGAAGAAGGGGGGCTTCCTTCGAGCAATCTTTTTTTCTTGGTCCCTCTCCCGGCAGTACCTCAGTAACACCTCTTCCCCTTTTATCCGAGCGCGGAAGACGGATGGCGGTTGCTGTCCCGCTGTCTGGCCCACGCATGCACGGCTGGGCGCCTGGACCGGCCCGCCCGCTGCCGCCTTTCTTCCGGGAGTCTTGCGGGGACTTCCTCTCCCTCTCTCGGCCCCTCTTTCTTTCCTCTTGCCCATTGTTGGGGGGTTCTCCTTCAAAAAAGGGTCCTCGTTAGGCTTAATGAGAGTTTATTGATCAGTTTGGAAAAGTGGATGGTCGCTGCGTAGAAAACTTGCGCCCGGTGCCTTCCTATTTTTCTTTTCTTTTTTTTTTTCTTTGTTTTTGTATGGGGTTCGGAGGGAGGGTGAGGATGACGCGCGTGCTGCTGGGAGACCGTGCGGTTTTGGCGTCTCAGTCGACTGTCTTCGCTCACTGACTGCTTTGGAGCGCCAGATTAGGTTACTGAATGATTGTTGTTGCCCCGCGATAGTGCTCAACGCACTTTAACGCGAGAAGGGGAAGACGTGGCAAGCTGTATTTAGACCCGAATACGGTTGACATCGCCCTCGTATCGCTCTCTACTTTCCTTCTTTATGCAGTCACACGCAAATACGACACTTCTGCAATTCGTGTACAGCCAACCAAGTAGGCCAATGGTGTGATTGATACGCTTGTGTCGTAACGGGCAACGTTAATCGACAAACATGAACGCTAGTTATCAGCCCGCAACTTCTATGGTATGGAATGGGTTTCACGAAATGTTTGCACGCCTATCTGCCCCGTAGAGGGTGGAGAACTGTGGGTAATTTGTTGAATGACAAGAAGCACTTCGGCCCAGTGACTATAGGCTTTCCGTGGAATGTTATGTGACATGTCACCGGAGCCCGTCTGTCTTTGCTTTTGAACGGATTTTAAACTCTAGCTTCCTTTCCTAGATTGACCTTATTGGTTCTCCGAAGGTTTGCTGCCCACGAGTACGATGATAATTTGTTGATACATGCAGTCACCATGCCCTGACAATAAAAGGACCTCAACCTTCTGCTGTATAATTAAGTCAATAAATAAATAGGGCTGGGCACTTTAACGATTAACCGACCGATTAATAAATTAATTCTTTAATCGCATTCAACATTTTAACCGGTTAATCAATTAAATCTTAAGAAAAGAAAAAAAAAAACTAAAGTTGAAGCTTTCACCGCAGACGTTGACGAGTACACCTGTATGAAGGCAAACTTTAGGTGAAAGAAACTGCAGGAACGAGATTTGTAATGCCATGACAAGTGGAGAAGGTTATACGCGCCCCAGCCACTTTAACGAAGTGGAGGTGTCCGTGTGGGGCAGCAGAGAGTATTGTGAATAATCAAAGAAGTTTGATATACTAAACAAAATATAGGTAAAAAAAATTGTTTCGGCGGCTGAAGTAATAATTTGTTGGTGTAGGTGTCTTTCGGCTGTTCTCGCATACACGTCAATGTTGATTTAAAATTCGGAGTTGTACATTGCGCCGTTTATCGCATATACAGCAAAAGCACATCGAAAAATAAGAAAAAAAACGCAACAACGAATATTAGCTTTATTTCTAACTTTATTGCTTGGGAATGAACAAAACCGATTAATCGATTAAGTAATCGATTAAATGGTGGCGATTAATCGGGGGAAAATTTTCAATCAACGCCCAGTCCTATATATAAACAACGCATTGTGAAACTAAATGGCAACTGTAAATTGCTATTTTTGAGGTACATGGTGAAATAAAACTTTCGATAACCAAATGTTTCGTCGCAGGTATTCCAACCACTGTCTATATATAGCCCGTCAACCTAAAACCGTACAGTACAGCCAAAGCCACAGGGGAGAGAGCGTATCCCAACCTGATGAAGAGGAGAGAAAGGCTCGGATTCCAAGCCTTTCTCTCCTCTTGCTCCTTTCCCTCCTCTTGAAAAGGTTGGGACACGCTATCTCCCATGTGGCTTTGGCTGCACTGCACGGTTTTAGTGAGATGCAGGATAAATTACTGCGGATGGATCTAGTGCGAAAATGCCACATCGTGAAAACAAGAATATAGTGTTTTTTTAATTGTCACTGATGTGAAATATTGCTGACGCTACTGAGTGTAGGAGTGCAATTGCTTGTTGCTTCAAGAGCCAAAGTAAATTTATAATGATGACAGTTAGCTGAAATGCATTCTTAAAACCACATCTCGACTGTCCTTTCAATAAACTGGAACTATTGGTCCGACGAAAGATAATGGGAATTGGCTCAAAGCTTCTTAAAACGTACTCGACCCAGCTCTTTATGCCTTACAAACAAGAATGGAAAAATAGGCCGCAAAAAAAGGATATATATGGTATCGTATAATTTTATTTATCTTTCGATAAACTGTGAAAAACGGAGGGTACCAGATATTTCTGGAATTTGGTATGTAGTATGTGCATACCGTTTACGGTATACGAATTTTATTTCATGCGTAATCTTAGCTCTTTCGGCTACTCTTCGTTTATTCTTTGATTCCGGAATATATGATATTTGTATAAATCACGCAACATGTTAAAAAAAGACTTTAGATGTGTCAACACTCAGACGTTAGAAGTCCGGGCAACGATAAACATAATAAAATTTTGTATTTCTTCTTCCATAGGTAAAATAAGTGCTGTAAAATGGGTCGACTTTTCATTCACCGGATCGACCAGGATCAATCACTCCAGACTGATCAATCAGTACAGATTTAAACGCAATGCTTTCTAATATTAATATCCCACTCGGGCCAAACATGACTGGAATTCAATTGAAAATTATACAGTTGCGTTTTCATGAATTTACAATTTTACTGATGTCTTAACGATATGTTTTCATATGCCGTTTTTTGTGCGTTCATGTGTATTTTTTTTTGTATTTTTATTATTGTGCTAGCTCCTCCTGTGGCTTGGCAGTCGGGAGCCGCAGTATTTTCTAAATAAATAAATACTTATATAAATTATAATTAAATAATTTGCCTTTCTAGTGACGATGCCACAGCTTCTGTATCATGAAAGGCTTCCTTCTTAATTGATATTGCGTGTAAATGAAAGACTGCACGGAGATAAAACAGGACAAAAGAGCCGCGTGCTTGCCCGAATAAATTATGCTCTCCGTCAAAGCCGGTTTCGCCTTTCTCGCAGGAAGTTCACGGAGTGCACGATAGATGGCGCCACCTGGAGCGGCACATTTTGAACAGGTAAGACGAATGGACGTCCGCTTGAAACGTTCTCTATTCCTTCCTGATCGCGTCCATTTTAGTGTCGCACAGTCATATATCTTTTCCGATTTCGTGTTTATTGTATTATTCCTCGACCGACGTCTATCTGCGACGCATGTCAATCGGTGTATCGAGTTCGGAATCCCTACATTTAGGACAACTCGAGGGTATAGGTGAGGGAAGATGTATTTGCGCGACAAAAAACGTTTTTAACCCAGCGTTTTCTTTGTTTTTGTTTTGTCCGCGCGCGCGTTTAAAAGCGCGTGTTCGAGAATGCAACGAACGTTGGTTATTCGAGTATGAAGATGGACGCAAATCTCCTCTCCCAGACACGCCGCCGATATGATTTAAAAGAAAATGATTACTACAAAAGGAAAACTCAACAGAGATGTGTCTTTATTTGTTGTAACCAGCGGTTTTTTTTTTTTTCCTTTCTTCTTGGAAATTTTGCCACAGCCGAACTCGTGCTTTATTCGCTACCCTATTTCAGTTTATCCTCGTAGAAATGTCACGAACGTAGAAAATGGTATTTTATTCCTGATAAAGCGAGATTGTGATACTTCGTTAGTTACTCGTACACGAACAGCATTCGGGCTTCAAAAGAAGCGCGAAATAACAACTGCTGAGTGAGTACACCGAGTGTCCCTAACCTAATCGTTCCTGTTTATCCGAGTTTCCGCGTACATGCGAAGCGACCGGACACGCTCGAAGAGCAGAAAGGCGTCGCACTCCGCCGTCAGATCGTTTGTGTAGTCCAGACATGACACGCGTCCGACTGTGGGCAGGTCCTACTGGAGCTACCAGGTGATCAGTCCTTTCTAATTGCAGCCGCAGTGCAAGCACGGCTCTGTCGAGGCGACACTAATTCGAGATTTTTTTCTTCGTAATTTACATGCCGTTTTACCGCTGGATGATCTGCCTATATAGAGGGATGTCCTTTCTTTGCTGTCGTTCACGTATAGGCGTGCCTGTCATACGTAGACCATATCGTGAGACTCGCTTCAGGATGTGTCTGCTGTGATTGGGACTGTGACCGCGTTCCGTGGTTATATTTTGTATTGTCGCGTCGCACACGTTCATATCGTGGAGATGCTCGTCTATTTACGAGTGCGTGTGGGATAGTGTTTTTAGTTTACTCGGCGAATATTATAGAGTTTGATTCGCGCCCCTGCCGGCTTTACGCCTGAATGATAAGCACTGTATTGAAGTGTGATGGACCTAAAAGACTCCAGATTAGCAGCCATTGTGAACGAGCTAAATTGGTTATCTATGGGTTTTGCTAATGCGGTCGCGCTGAATTTCGCGACGGTACCCTCAGGCACGTAGCCGGGGGGGGGGGGGGGGGGGGGGGCATAGGGCCCGGCCCCCCTCCCCGAAATCTTCCATCTTGCTGTGACCTCCTCTCCCCCCTCCGCCTCATACAGCATTTTGTCATGGCCGGGCCCCTCCTAATACAAAAAAAAAAAAAAAAATCCTGGCTACGTGCCTGGGTACCCTGCTTTTGAGAGAATGCTGGATACGCAGTCTGATTGGCCAAGTGACTCGACACTGCACGCCGAACTGGAATGGAGCACGTAAAAAGCTTATATACTGAAAACAAGATTCAGTGCAACTGCTTCTTTCTACGAAAGGACGCAGCTGTTACTCATAACACTGATGGTATCACAAATGGTAAACTCTCTTTTCCAAAATCAGATTTATCTAAGCTGTCCAGGGCCGAACCCGACGCTCCGAGGACGGTAAGCCAGAGCTTCTCCACACCAAAATGGAACGCGTGTAAAGACGTGACATTTTCATTATAAATGTACATTCAACTTGGATTTACGAAGTTGACGGTGCCTCAATAATATCCTCCTGTGAGCACCACCAGGGCAGCAGTCTTCGAGCTTGTGTGAATTTAGGTTCTCGGGAGCGAGTTTCTTTTGGGCGCGTTGGCAGCCACGAAGAAAGGCCTCCGCATCGAAAATGGGCGGCTCTATTTGACGTAGCGCGCGATGTCCAATTTTTCAGCTCGGATTACGCGCGCTGTGTACTGCTGTGAGAAATGCGCTCTTCTCTTTTGGGCTGGATTCTCACAGCCCACGCGTCAAGCGGCCTCTGGGGTTGTCCCGCCCAGCATGCAGCGGGAGGTTTGCTGGGCCACTCCTAAAAATATTCATGAGTGAGGCCCTCTCGTCCTCGGTCTTGAAAATAGGCGCGTTCGCGTCTCGTGTGTGCCGGATTCCTCGCTTACAGCACCATCAATCACTCCTTGTCGTTCTGTCTTGAGTGAGGCTTATGATGACAGTCGGGCGGGCGTTAGGATCCTTCAGCATTCTAACTTTTCGCGTATGATGTACTTTGCCTCAAGGGTCTAGTCGATTACATATCGTTTTCCGTGTTTAACTAAAAAAAAGAACATGATTTCTTCTTTTCCTTTCTGTTGAACGCTGAACAAAATAAGATGTCAAGTAGCTGTGTCCTTTTTTTTTTTTTTTTTTTTGAGGATCCAGAGGGTTGTTTTTGGCGGAGAAAACCTGAAGTAACATAATGGTTTTGTGCTAATGCGATTATTATTAGAGCCCCCCCTAACGATCTTTTTTTTTTTCAGACTTTTTTATTTGTTTCAAAGTTTTGTTTCGATTTCTTCTTATGGTGTCTTCTCGTGCGGTATGGACCGAACTAAAATCGATTAAGAAATACCGGGACTTGTGGGAGCTGTACCATAGCAGGCCTACATGGGAGGCTACTATTATATACGAACTACACCTCTAATGTTGGGTGCAAATGTGAAGACTCTGTTTAGGAGCTGCACACCCACCGTCGTCAGGGCCCGACGTTGAGGAGAGACAGTACCCAGCACTAGTTCTGTCACATATAACTTTATCTAAACTCGGCTTGAGTTCGCGACACAGACAACTGCTATGACGTTCTCCGTCCGAAGGCTTGCGATGGCTTACCACCCCTTTTGCTGTTTTTCCTCTTTTTCCCCTTTTCTTCCCCTGGCCGCGAGGCGAGGATTCTTTGTAATCTGGCACGAACGCCACAGTGGGACACACACACACACACACATACACACACACACACGTGCCCGCACGCACAGCACCGAATGAGTCGGTCATACACTTCGTCACACTCGCCCACACAAAAAAAGGAATTTTCTCTTATACAAAATTCACCTGACAAAACTTAAAGGGATGTTCATGTTCAGGTTCATAAAGACACTTAGTTTTCGGACCGTAATGAACTCCACTATAGGATACCTATAAAAACACTGGGTAAAGTGCACAGAATACACCATCACGTGTTCGCTAAGGACAGTGAACAGAATGGGACAACACATTGAACCCAGAACAATAAGGAGCTCACTAAGAAAGTTGCCGCAGATTACAGGCTACCCGGTGTGCCCCGCAGGTTTCTCGTAGCTGTGTCCATTAAGGTCGATCAACTGGTCCGTATTTTCTCAAAGCATAGCGATGTTCCCGCGCAGGTTGGCTTGCTCTAGGAGCAGCAGCAGCCGAGCTGTGAGACAACTCCTCCAAGAGTGCCAGCATGATGAAATCGTTTGATCTCTTCTCGTCAGAATCCACTCTGTTCTCATCCGCTGGACACGGGCCGTTGGGCTTTGGAACGGCGCATGGCAGTAGGAGTTCCAACATCATTCGGCATGCCCGGCCCACGCTTTTCCTCTTTTTCCTATTTTCTTCCCCTGGCTGCGAGGCGAGGATTCTTTGTAATCTGGCGCGAACGCCACGGTGGGACACACACACACACACACACACGTGCCCGCACGCACAGCACCGAATGAGTCGGTAATACACTCCGTCACACAAATACGGTGTCAACTCTACAACAAGGCTCAGAGAGGTCACTATGTTTCTATTCCCGAATTTCCGCACTCTTCTAAATATATGAAACCGAGTAGTTCCTCAAACGTGTAATGAAAATAAATGAAACTATTAAAGGTTTCAGTGCTAATATCCTGTCATTTGTTGTTGTTTTTTAATACGTGTGCCTGTTCATAATACGAGTATTTTATGCCCGTTTCAGCGCCTTCTTTTACCTTCTTTTATCTTTTCGCTGGCTCGTTCAAGGGGGACATGAAGAATGTCCAGATCAAGCATGGAAACTGTGTCTTCAGTTGTGCTTGAGTTAATAGAGAAGATTCAATGTGCTAAAGCTCTAACCGAAGTTGATTCGCCTTTCGTTAGGAATACTAGCCAGCATTCTCGTTAGAACTCAACAACCTCACAAAAACAGACAAAAACGAAAACAGGAAAAACAGGCTTGCTTTTTTTTTTTGTTTTTTTGTTTTTGTTTTTTTTTTAAATATCGATAGCCGTATGCTGTCTTCTTGGCAGCGGCTCGAATAATCTCATTTCATACCAGATTTATTAATATCTCCCGGCCGGTTGGCGTACCGTTCCCACCAGTCAACCTCGAACTTAGTTCGTCCTATTTTCGCGCGTGCCCATAGGAAGAGATTCCGCGTGAAGAGTGATAGCAGTCTAGTCGTCTCTTGTAAGTCTACGGGCGAAGTGGTCGGGGGTCCGCCGATACGACGGACCACACGGCGCGTTTCGGCGTCGTGCGCAAATCTAAATCCCAACCGGAAAAAGGAGGCAGAGAAGAATCCGTCGCTTATCGCGAGCGGCAACAGGGTCTCCCATTCATTACCGGACGTCTCCGCGTCAACGAGCTGAGCTTATCTTGCGCCAGTCGGGCGTTTTGATCGAAGAGACCGCATGGGCACGGCACGCTGGCACCGGTGAATGTTTGTTATTGCCATCCTTGTTGCGTGCAGTACGCGAAGGTGGGAGAGCCTGCGAATTATTTCCACGAGTGCATGAATCTCATGATCTCGAGGCGTTTGCCGAACCAAGGAACGCTTGAGCGCAATCGGCCAAGCTTGATTAGGACTCGGACAGGGCCAGTTTAAACTTGGGAGACGAAAAACGTAAAAAAGAAAAGGAAACGTAAATCAGTTATGCACTAACTAT